TTCAGTTTTGCCCATTAACAACTTAACTAGCAAAAGGGCCCGTTCGTTGCAACGGGAAGAAACAATTCATAATCTTCAATGACCATATTTTGCTGCATCACTGAGGTACACTATCACTCTCAATTTCGTTAAATCATGAACAATTTTTGAAATCATGAACATTTTTTTAAACTCATGAACATATTTGAAATCATGAACATTTTTCAAATTTATGAACACTTTAACATTTTTTGAACCTAAAATCAAGAATATTTTTTAAATTCATGAACATTTTATACCATTTGCAAACTTTTTTAATTATGAACAGTTTTTAAACAATTTTCTTGAATCGGTGAACATTTCTAGAATCGGTAGACAATTTTTTTTTTGCAAATTGGTGGAATACTTTTTTATATTCACGAACATTTTTTTGATTTAGTGAACATTTTTGGAAATGCATGATCATTTTTTGAATCATCGAACATTTTATGAACGAACAAACTATTTTGTAAGTCAATAATTGTTTTTTTCAAATTCCCTTGCAAGTAACGAGTTCAAGGGGATTGACGACCCTCTTGCCCGTGTTGGGTGCAAGTATTTGCTTTTGTATGTGCAGGTGCTGAAGATGGGAATTTGTGTGGTTCTTCTATTGGTTTGATAATCGTGGTTCTCATTGAGGAAAATACTTTTCTCTGCATCTCCTCTCCTCTTCGAGGAAAATCCCAACACAGTTTACAAGTAGCAGTCTCCCACCACGACGCGTTCCAGGACTGTCGCCAATTGGCCATCTTGCCCGCTTATGGCTCGCCCGCGTCGATGAGCCGATCCACCCTGGCTCGTCTATTACTTATGAGTGTTATTGATATAGTAGATTTGTTAGTTATCTGGTTTGACTGGAAATGATTGCTGACTCAAACATGTGGCTTTTGGTTGTAGATGGTGCAGCGAGGGCTAAGCTGGATAGGATAGTGGCATCAGACAACTGCATATCAGCTGCAGCTGGAGGGAGCTACGGAGCTGAAGGTGTGCATGCACATGAGAGTATTACTGTCTGACCAGAGGCACCTTCAGTACAGGAGAACCTAGCTGCTGAAGGTCACAAGGTGAAGTGGCAAATTACACTCATCTTGTAATTTAATACAGTATATGCTTAGCATGCTGCAATTACCATTGCTCTAAAAATGTGTTATGATCTTTGTTGATAATTGATCTGTTGTAGTGCACAATACTCCTAGTATTATTATTATTATTATTATTATTATTTATTGCTGTTGTTTCTGCCGATTCAATAGTAATGATCAATGTAGATTATATAAATTTTAACTGGAAAACAAGGTCGCTCCATTTGGGGTGTAGATTATGCTATTTCATATGGCCATTGTGAGCCATTGCTTATGTATAATAGAAAGTGTGCATTGGTGTTCGGGAAAATAATAAGTTAACCACTATGCTCTTTTATAATATTATGTTTAGTGTCACTACTATCTAGGTTCTGGATGGTCTCCATGCTGATGGGTCTTCACAATTTGCAACATCGTAACTGAGTTTTTTCATTAGAAATTTTGTTTTATCAAGGATCTCTATTTACTTTCCTTACTTGTATCATCCGAAGTTCAGAACTGATGTTAGATTTGTTAATTCAACATAATGATTGGATTCATTTGTGCAATGTCTGCTCCCCTAATCTTATTAAGTGTTGGCACTAAAAAGGCAAAGCATTGTGTAGTCATTCATCATGCACCACGCCTTGAAAACATTGAGGTTTTAGCCCCTATGACAAAGTTGTGACCTTGTGGAACAGAGTCTGCTATAATCAAGAGACGAATGCCATAATTTTAACCTGGCCGTAGCGTAATTTTTGGGCCAGGGATTTAATCTTAAAATATCCCATTTGAAAATCAAAACAATCGAGACTTTTCGGAAATTGGATGCAGTTACTAATTCATGATCTAGCATGTACAGAAAAAACTTCATTCTCGATTCTACGAGAATTTTTATGAAAGTGTTTCATTCGCTTCTCTTCAATGGAAGTTTCATTTTCTCAGAATGTATCCTAATTTTTGGCCTAATTCTTCTTCTGATGATTGATTCAACCTCTGATCAAAAAGATAGACCTCATCGGATCCTTACGTGCAATCTTGTTTTGCTTCATTCTTTTGGCCCTCAACATGTGCTTGATGTTGTCTTTCAGTAGGCTGCAACACGTGTTGTGTGGCTGACTCGGCATCATCGCGAGCAGCGTGAGATGCCCAAACGTGACTCATGCAGTCCACAATTTTATTCTATTGTTTTTCTGAATCTATATTCAGTGTCCTCAATTTTATTTCCTTCCCTGAATGCTCCTTTCTTTATTTCCTAGGACAACTCCTTGATATCCAGTGAAACCAAAGTGGGAATAAAGTAAACCAACTTTTGCATCTACTATCCAAACCGATATAGAGGTCTACAGTCATGGTATTCCATTCAGGTCTTTAACATTGAGATCATTGTCGTGTCTTGGTAACCATCATGATGTACAATCTCGGTGATGTTAGCCAACAATACCAGCATCCATCGAAAATCTGGAACGATGTATCGGCATGTTGTACACGTGCATGCCTGTAAGACAAATAACTCATGCGCTTCTTACCTGTTTGTTCCCGATCATTCTTCCCTTCGACTTCGGTTTGGAATATTGAGGGCCTAACAAATCAGAAGCATTTTAATTCATCTCATCAATCAGCTTATGTGCTAACTGCCTAGCAGCGGTGTTGCGAGAGCACATGCACGCCATGTCAAAACCCTGGCTTGCAAGACCATGCCCCTCGCCGACCTCCATATCCCCTCCTACTCCGTCAGCGATGGCGACTACCAGAGTCCAGCACTGGGGGCTGGTGGCGCATGGTGAGTCGGGGTGGGGCATGGTAGGAGGTCACGACGCGCTGGATAAAGAAAAAAATGAGACCAACCCAAGGGCTAACCCTCCTCGGCTTTTTTTTATAGGAGAAACTCCGTGAGCACCGCGAGTTCGTGCCGGGACTCGAACTCGGGTGGGCTGACAGCAACCTCAGCTGCCCAGCCAAACGGGTCGACGCCCCGTCCTCACGACGCGCTGGATAGGGAGATGGGATTGGGAGCACGGTCCTGCAGGTGTTTTTCTTTCTTTTTCTCGCACACACTGATTCGGTTGATTTATCATGAGGACCGCGGGTTGAATACGCAAAAACACATGGATCTTTCTGCAAAATTGCCAACAACATACTAGCAGAAGTGACAGCCGCTTTATTGTTAAATTAAAATTAAAAAATTAAAAATTACTCCCTCCGTTCCTAAATATTTGTCTTTCTAGACATTTCAAATGACTACTACATATGAATGTATGTAGACATATTTTAGAGTGTAGATTCACTCATTTTGCTACGTATGTAGTCACTTGTTGAAATGCCTAGAAAGACAAGTATTTAGAAACGAAGGGAGTATTAGGTAAGGAGTAAAGACTAAATCATAATTATTATATTAATAATTATATATATATAGGTCCAGAAGTTATTAAAAAGGAGCGCACCAAAGTGCCAAACCCCTCGAAAAAGCTGAAACCCCTCCCCCCTCAGTCCCCCGTCCGCCGTCGGCTGCCCTCCCCACCCCACCCCACGAGACGACGGCGGCGGCGACGACGGCGAGCAGCACCCGATCCTCTCCCCCTCCTCGGTAACCTCCTCCCCGTCCTCTCCCCGCGCCCCTCCTGGTTGATTCCGCTTTTCCGTATCCGATCGATTCGTGCTCCGTTCCGAGCAGTCTGTTCGCTTCGCCGTGGGTCGGGAATCCGAATCCATCTGCCTGGTCCGTCCTCGAATGCGTCCGTCCCCGTCGGTCTGTTGCGAATCCCGTCGCCTGCTCGCCGTCGCTGCCTTGCCGAATGCCGCCGCTGCCGTAGGGTTTAGTTTTTTTTTCCTTTCGCCGCGGCGAGACCGACGGGGTCATCGAACCCTCGCCGCCGCGCGGCCTCTCCCCTCCCAGGCCTACTCCGTCGAAGCACGGAAGCGGTTCTATCGTGTGGTCGCTGTTCCTCCCCGCTGGCCCGCTCAACCGGACTGGTGTGGAGTGGGGAGTGGGGAGGGGAGATTCACCCATCTAGGTTTGAATTTTCCTTAGTAGCGACTAACCCTAACTTGCTCGAATTGTAAATAGGTTTATCCTGGTATTTTCCTATTTTCCTTGCTGGGAGCAATACTAGTGCTAATCCAAGGTGGGATGTTTAACTGAGGCCTCATGCTTCCTTGTTAGATCGACCCTGTTCGTGCTTTCTTGATACATGTCTTGTTAGATCCACCCTGTGCGCGCCTTCTCGATGCATGTTTGAGGGAGGGGAAACGACCATGTTCTCTTTGTAGTATTGTTCTGTTACTACAAATTAACAGTGAATGCTGAACTTTGGTTAAATTCTGTTCCTTAATTTGTGCTTGTATAGTTGTATTAAGCACACACGTTCATCTTATTATTTTGGATATAAGTAGGCTTTCTATTGTGAATTGAGTGTCACTCATTTGGTGGGGACGCTTGAACGCTAACCTGCCCACCAGGGTTTGACTGCCATTAGCAGAATTTATTTGGTGGGGTGCCTGGTGTCTCGTATGTTCTTGTACAAACAATCCAACAAGTGCTAGTGCCTTGTGGCCGAGTCTTCTTTCATATATACAAATAGGCTTTCTGTTTTGCATCATATGTTTATAGTTAAATATGGAAGACTTGAATGTTGAAATGCGTAGACAAAATTTCAAATCTCCTTGCAGAAGTTGCGGCCTAGTTTCCTAAATGGTGCATGAAGGCTTCTGGAACATTGTATATTAGTGAAATTAGGAGTATTGTTTGTATGGTATCGTAGGCCTTTATTGAGTTTGTATATCCAACTATGTTGGGTGATATTATTAATACCAGAAATTGATGCCTTTTACATAGTAAACAATTGTTAGATATCCAACATAATAGTTCTTCTTACAGATATTTCCATTGCTTCAGTTCACTGCAGGAGCAAAGCAGTAAAAATGAATGTGCATCTCAGCTTTGAGGATGGCTGGAAGGTCCTGGAGCAGGGCATTGTGACATGTTCAAAGATTTTGGAGGGATCCACTGGTACAAGGCCTACTGTTGCTGAGTACATGAATTGCTATGAGTATGATTCTATCATTATCACGTGTAATATGTATATCTTAACTATTACCAGTGAAGCACTTAAATTTGTTGCACATGATATGTCCATATACTTTTCCAGCTGTGCTTATAGAATGGCGGTGCAGACAACCAGCTATTGTGAAGAGATGTACAATGGTTACAAGGCTACACTTGCAGAATCTGTTCGTGCACTGGTACTATGTCGGCCTTTCATTCCATTTCACAGTTTTCTATTGCCGAGTCAGTATTTGTAGTTCTAACCAATCGATGCATTTAAGAGTGAGGAATTGATAAATGAAATCTTGTTTTTTAACTACTGACTTTTGTTTCCTCTGTTAGATCATATCTGCTGACCTAGTATTGGAAAACTTATTTAGGCATGGACGCATGTTTCTCCAGATCTCAGTGTTGGACGGCTTATGTCCATACTATCATAACATTCACAAAAGTTTAGTATCATAGTGTTGTGTCATCTTGAACCAAGTTACAAACCAGATAATGTGAGAACAGATTATCTTTGACATATTGTGTAGGATTTCTTGTTGTAAAGGGAAACTTGGAACTAATTTATTTGCATTTGAAAACTAAGTAGAATATTGTGATTTATGTTGACATAGCTATTTCACAGCACTTCCTGCGTTCTCGTGATAGTTCTTAACTAAAGCACCAAAAACAAACTAATGAAAGTGCTGCTGCTACGCTTTTCAGACTACAGGACATCAGGTTTGATAAATAAGCGGGCCAGTGCACATTCTTGCATGCATATGTAATTTCCATGATATCATACTCCCTCCATCCATATATATAGGGCCTAATGTGTTTTTCGAGATTGCCTTTGACTATTGATAAGATTGACACTATACGAGATGTATAATGTGAAAATTATATCACTGGAAGCTCCTTTCACGTATGAATTTGACGGTATGCTTTGTGTAACTTGCATGTCAGATATTATTGCTCTAAAGTTAGCCTCGTAAAACGCATTAGGCCCTATATATATGGATAGAGGGAGTATATAATTTCCATGTATCTCTTTGCTTTGGATGTTAAAGAAATGCCTTTGTTAGCATCAAAGATATGCATCATTCTTCCCTCTGTTGACTTTTTTCTGCTTATGTACTTAGGTTTGCCCCCATCTGATGCACCAGAGAGACGGCTACCTTTTGAGACAGCTTGCGAAAATGTGGTCTAACTATTGTATCATGGTTAAATGTGTATCTGGCTTCTTCAACTATTTGGACCGTTGCTTTGTTGAGCAAAGAAAGCTACCTTGTCTTGAAGACACTGCTGCCACTTCTTTTTTCTCTACAGTAAGTGACTAAGTGTTGTGCGAGAAATATTTTTGTTTTTACATCTGTTTGTTTTTATTACATGTTTCTTACACATTTTCTACCTAATATTTATGGACTTTTTTCCTTTTGCTAGGTCTTTTCCTTCTTCAGTCATGAAGTATCAGACGCTCTGCTGACTTCGGTAATTCTTAGATAGCTATTTTTGCCTGGTTGTTGTTAAAAGCATTTTCTTCTGTACATAACAATTGATTGATCCAGATTCGCCAAGAGCGTGATGGAATCAATGTTGATATGGACATCTTGATGGGCATTATGCGTGGCATATGTCGCTCTGAAGTCAAATCCTTCATGAAAAATGCTGTTGTTCAAGATACATATGCTTACTACTCCAGGAAAAGTTCTGAATGGATTGTTCAGTACCCTCTACAAGATTACCTTGCCAAGGTCAGTAATTTAATCTTAACTAATGGGTCAGTAGGTGTTATTTATTTCTTTTTAGTTTCTTAACACTGTTTATATGTGTGATATCTGTAGGTTCAGGATTGTATGGAGAAGGAAACCATGAGATTGATGAGCTATCTGAGTATTGCTGAGGGTGATAGCACAGAGCTCTGTTTGAAGGTTCTCTTTAATTAAGAAAAAATAAATATGTTTTCACTTTGCAGCTTGAACATGTCTGCCTTCTTCCAGTAGTAGTATGTAGGGTTGGTACCTCTTCTGTTGTGTTATTTGATGATTCATATTCGGTTTCCAATATCTGTGTCCTGGACATTTGGTTCCTAGTATTTTGGCCCTGCTTCTAAAATGCCCAAATAAGATGTTAGTATGAAAGTAAAATACGTTATTATGATTGGCTCAATTAGCAAATGTCTTAATTGTCTTCGACCACAGAAATTCAACTGCTTGAATCATGCAAAATGCTATTTCCTGACATATTTCTGATCCTTCTACTGCCTCCACTCCTGTTGCAGGTTGTTAGTGCTCCATTGATGCAAACTTATGACAGCTATGCAAGAGAGAAACAGATTGGTGGCCAACTTTTGCTTCAAACATACAAGGTGAACTCAGTTGCACTCGCATCATCGTTTGATACTACATAATTTGTTTTTCCTTTCTGGATTACGACTAACCATTCCATTACTCATATCAGACTGTAGAGGACGATCTGCTGGCCAGATGCAATCGCTTGACAATTGACAGCGGTGTGGACAACAGTTCTGGCAGTTACATGGAGTAGAAAGGAAATGTTCTTCAGCTAACATTCATCGATAACCAAGCTTACATACAGGAAGGGGTTCTAGAACATGGCCTACATCTGGGGGAATTTTTTGTGCGGTTCGGTTTTTGGTACCAAAGCAGAGCTCGTGTACTGTGGATTTTATCTGCAGGGGATACCTCTTTAGGGCCGCCTCCTACCCCATTATGGTTAACAACATTTGAAATGTACATGATGGCGGGTCAATTTATGCCAATGGCAGTTTATTTTGATTGTCGTCTAGCGAGCATTAGGCCGGTCAGCACCTAGCACTCTTAGTGGCTGGACATGGAGTATGTCATGACACCAGAATGATTGGTGCATTGCCTGTGCCTTTGGCGTGCTTCTGATGCTGTCTATGGTTTAATCTTATCTATGACTTGATGCTACTTATCTGTGTTTGTGTGCTTGCCTACATCGCTAAACTGTAGATTAGATGGGTTTATGTTTGTTCCTGGTCTAGTTTGCTGTAAAGGTTGCCAAGTTGCTATTATGACCTAGAGCCAGTGTGTGGTAATTGTTTGCATTTTTAGATTCTATAAACCCAGCTTGCATTATGAATGGTTCATGGATCCTGTACCTGGTTGGCCTGATTTGAGTGATTCTCACATCACAGTCGTATGTGAATCTCATTTTTTGGGAAGTGCTGAAACTATTTCAGCAACATTCGAAGAGAGTACTTGGCCATAGTATTTATCCTTTGCATTCTCTTACTTTCTAGTGATGGATAAAGGGTTTTCTTTACACTTTTAATTGGCAAATTGTACATTACTGCCAAGCGTATTCAGGAGCAGCAGATGCACCATGAATCTTAATTACTTGGCATTGAAATGCAGTGCCTTCTTGCCCTGGAGTTTGTTGGATGTAGTGATGGCTGTACTCACCGTGGTTGTACCTCCGGTACTAGCATGGCTCGCCGTCGGCAACGAGCTCTGGCAGCGGGTCGAGCTCGACGTCGTAGGTCGGCGCATAGAAGGACAAGGTGGACAGCTAGTCCTCACTGTCGGTTACTGCCCGGAGCTCGACGCTGTTGTACCTGCCGTTCGTGAGCACCTCAGAGCGAGTCGCCGAGGTCTTTCCTTGAGCATGAGTCGCCGAGGTTGACTACAAGGGCGTGCAGGTCGGGGTGGACGGGCAGGCAGGTGCAGCCATTGACCACCTGCAGTCCTGTGCGTCCAGCATCCTGCTGGAGCACGGTGACCGTGCTTCCGTCGGAGCACGCGCCGAGCCCCAGCACCAGGTGCGGCCGCGGGCACGGTGCGTACAAGTTCATCCGCACCGCGTCGCCGAACATGACCGAGAGCGTTCTTGGCGCCAGGGCTAACGTCTCGGCGATGTTCCCCAGGAGGCATAGGCAGAGCGCCCTGACCTCAGCGGAGTACCTTTTGAGCGCACCGGCCTGCGGCGACAGGGAGCTCTCGGCCATGGCGGCGCTACCGGCTAGAGGGAAATATTTATGTGGCTTGATACAACAATATTCAAAGCCACTCAAAAGTTTTCAGGATTATTGGATTCATATTTTATACATAGTAAATATAAATCCAATTCAAATAGTTACTGATTTAATTCAAAGTCCTAAAAATAAATACTTTTATGCCTCTAAAAATATTGGTTTGTGTTTTTGCCCTGGACAGTATTTTCAAGGTTTAACATTAACATTTTCTTGGGATCATTTGAGGAGATTTTTAGTTTTATCATTTAAAAAATGATTTCTGATGCTTTGGAAATTTCGTCAATTCAAATTCCTTTGAATTGAAACATGATGCATGGATGCTCACTGATGCAACTAATTACAAAAAAAATTCTAGGGCTGTGACAGAAAGCTTGGGCTGCCAGATGAAGGCCGGCGACAGGGCGAGCACCAGCTTTTTCCACCAGTCGAACTTCTGGTGGTCGTCGAAGGCGAAGGCGTGGCCTTAGCCCTGGATGCCGCCCGGGGCCAGCACCAGCATGTAGAACTCCCTCGCCAGCCTCTCCATCTCCTCCAGCAGCTCGCCGTCGATGCCATGGTTCATCACCTACATGGGCGCACGGACACACAACTGACTTTACACGATTGATGAAGTGTTTCAGTGGGCAGTTGGTGCATGCTGCGGACCTGGAAGAAGCCCCACTCCTCGCAGGCTCGCCTGAGCTTGCCCAGCTCAGCCCCGCCACCGCGCCGAAGCTTGCCGTCGTCGTTCCCGTCCGTGTAACATGGAAGACCCGAGACATCGTCCCACAGAACTAGAACATGGCACGCGCCCGTACCAAAAACCGAAGACCCGGGAACTTCAAAACTACGTCATCAGGTGGCAGCAGGCCAGCAGCAAAAGGCTGTACCAAGCCCCTAGCTCCGGCCAAGCACCAGAGTTGTCCCTCCTCCCAAATCCTACTAAGAATAGCTGGACTCTCGGCGCGGCTCCATTAAACACATAATCATTCGGATGCTTCCACAACATCCGGAACACCAAAGTGATCAGCAAGTTAAGCCCCCGTTTGAAGATACCTAGAGGCAAAGAATTGATTCTCAACCACCAATTAGAGAACAAGTTATCTTCAGTGTGTGGTGAGAAGTCTGGTAAACCAGAGTGACGGAAGAGGATGCACCAAACTTGTCTAGAGGAGACACAGTTTCTCAAAATGTGTTGGATCGTCTTTGGTTCTTGATCACACAGGGGGCATTAACTCGGGTGGGGCAATCCCCTTTGCGCCAATAGTCAAACATCTATTGTGCACTTCTAGCCATAGGAAAAATTGAAACTGTTATGTACAAACAATGCATATGGTCATTTAATTTGGTGTCGTGTTCTAGAAGCTAGACATAATGATCATGAAATTACGAATAATTAGAAATGGCTCCACATGGGTGATACTTCTTTTGACATATCATTTATTTTGGATGTGGAAACATTTGTTTCCTATGGTACAACTACCGAAAAATTCTGCACTCACTCTCGACAAACTATCGTTGCCCTTGCATTTGCGAGGGCCACCTTGCTAGTTTAGATAAACAAACAAATGTAATGCATGATAATTGAAAGAAGACAACATTAGTGATCCTATATTTATGGCAATTCATGCGAATGAGAACCACTGCATGTAGCTATATTAATCCCCGTTTACTGGGCATCGCTAGTGATAGACATGCATCAGCGAGAGGAGCAGACGGTTGCATGCAGGTTCCCTAGCCCTAGTTTCATGAAAGAAAATTTCGCTCATGATAATTTAGACGCGCCTTGGTTGCGCTACCTTAGATTCCCGTCCGGAGAGGTTTGTCTATGACTATGGCTTTTGCAGTTTTTTTTTCACTTGTGGCTTCCTCGCCCTCTTCCGTTCTTTCCTCCTGCTCCATCAATTTTTCCAACGAAGCTCGACCGCCGATTTGCAATGGAAACCGGCTTGAATACCGTGGGAGAAAATCAGGCCAACTCGGATCTCAACTGATTGCTCTTGGGAGAATTCGGACACTAGAAGGTAATTAAATTTCTCCACCTATCTGTGCTCGCTCAATTTTAATATAGGTCGTTTTTATTTCAGATTAATTAAGTCTTTCCTATAGCCTCAGAATGGATTCGAACGAGTGAGAAAAATAATAATTCATGGTCTCGTGAATGACGTGATATCTTCATATTTTACTCACAAATTAGGGCATTGTGTTTTTTTGGACTGTCAGTGGAATTGATATGTCATTGATGTAGCACATTGATTGATTAAAAGTATAACAAAATATCAAGTACTTCATAGGGTTTTCATTGTTGCATGAAATGGATTTGATAAAAAAGGGGGCTCTGTTACATTGAGATGCTGAATTCGAGTACTCCCCACTTGTGCAAAGAGGTTTTGGGTTCTACGCGGCCTCTCTGCATTGCATCGTGCAAAGTTAAGGCTTGTCTCTTAAAAAAAAGGCTTGTCTCTTATAATCCTTCCCCCAACCCCACGAGGTGTGGAAGCTTGTAGCACTCAGTCTGCCCAGGCTTATGAAATATGTTTCCAAAAGTTACCTCAGATAATTTTTTTAATCTTTGTATCTATCATATTTTTGTTCTCAGTACCTATATTATTTAGTAAAATTGCTCTAACTATGTTTCTTCCTGCTAGCCATCGTCAATGGCTAAAATGATGGCTCAAGGTGAGATTAGTAGAGCAGAGACTTTGAACATCAACGAATTGGAGAATTTGATGGGAAGGAAGCTAAGGGCATCTCCAGCCAGCCCCCCGAGAGGCTCCCCAGGAGGCTTTTTTCATCGTCGGCACGTATTTTTTCACCCAGTCACGCCCCCAACAGCTCAAATAGCGCCGGATTTAGTTAAAGTTACGGCCGGCGGTATCAACCCCA